CTGTTTTTGGTACTAAGTCATCGAAATCTGGTATATAGTTTATACTAATAACACATCTTAATTTGGACCAACTACATTTCAAATGCTCAGTAGCCCCATATGGCTAGTGGCTACTTAATTGGCTAGCAGAAAATCTGCACACTTCTTTCCTCATCTAAAATCCCTATGATTAAAAATGTTATGGGGGGCCGGCCGAGTGGCTCAGTTGGTTAAGAGCTCACTCAAGAGTTTGAGTTCTGAGCAACAGCGGTTCGAGTCCCGGCCCGAGCTGAGCAGCCGCTGAGCTGCCAACAGGTGGCAGGATGGCTCAGCTAAAAAAAAAAAAAAATGTTATGGGATAGAACAACAAAAATTTGAAGTTGCATAAATATGTTAAAGTCAGCAAGCAATGATTCAGCATTGAGAACAATACATATAATGGGGAAAGAAATAAAAGATGACAAATGGGAAAAATTAAAATTTGAATTTCTGAAGGAAAGAAAAGCATGGCTAAGTAATTATTGATTGGCCAATTATTTAACTAAAAATGTGAACCTTACTACAAAAAAAAAGTAGATACACATTATAGAATTATTCCTTTGTAAGAATATTTATTATGTGAAAAGCTATGCTTATCATTTTAAAAGTTAGTGGAATTTCTTTCCTTGGATGTCCTTTCAAATTAGAAAGCTATAGGCATAGAGATATAGACATGGGTAAAGAGATAGCTGCCATTAGGGGTTCTTGACCTGGCATGTTAGAATCGTCTTGGAAACTTTAAAAATTACAGAATTGTACACTTGAAACCTATGTAACTTAACTAACAATTGTCACCCCAATAAATTTTAATTTAAATTAAAAAAATAAATATTTAAAAAAATAAAGAACCAGGGCCTCACCTCCAAGACCGTCATTTAATTGCTCTAGGGTGTGGCTGGGGCATTAATATAATGTGCATCCAGATTGAGGAGCACCGGATTACATGACCTCTGCAGCAACTTTCAGCCTCTTCCTCATAGCCCTCACCTACCCATTTGCTGCCACAGTGGCCAAGGTTGTTGGCATGACTTGAGGAAACCTCCTCTTGTGAAACACTGAAGTATCTATTGGTATTCACAGATTCAGTGAACAGACATATTTCAACTTGTCTGAGGTGAGACTGTGCACTTCCTATTCAAGAGTCGCATTAATTTTTACCATATGGAATCATGCCACTACTACTTAGTTTTAAAACTCAAGTCACCAAAAGATTTTATTGAAATCTAATACACCTATTTCTTAAGCACTTTCACATATTATAACAGATTGCAGATGCAGACTATTGATCCTAATTAAAAGAAATATGAGTAACAAAAACAAAAAAGTAAAATTGAAAAGGAAGTTTATAAAGGAAGGGTTTTATTTTCCTAATTATTTTGTAGCTTCAGTTTATAATGTTCAGCATCACAGCTTGCACGGTGCTAAGAACATAGATGAATAATGCTCCAAGCACTGAAAGCATGGATATATGGTTATTTACATATCTATATTACATATAGATAAACTACATATATATTATGTAATTGTGTTTATATTTCTATAATTGTGTATAAAACCCTTCAAATACAATATAAACAGGGAAGATATAATCAAACCACAAAGTCCACACTTACACATAGCCTCATAAGTGGGTAAAAGTCAATTTTGGCTCTTTCCATGGAATCCTAGACAAGTCACTCCTTTCCTATTCTCTTCATCTCCAAATTGGGGCACTTATCCACATTCTGGAGTTTTAGGAGAGTTAAAGGTGGAAGCACTAGAGCCCACACACGGTAGTTGTTCAATAAATACCTATTGAATCTGAATGTACCTGCCAACCATCCTTGCTTCTGGGCACAGGAGAAAGGAGACCTGAAGCCCAGAAGGAAAATTAATTGCCCAGAATCACACAGTGATCACTTACATAGACCCAGGTTTCCTAACTGGTGCTTTCATTGCACCCCCTTCCCCCAGGGATCTCCTCCCTGAGGCTGGCTACACCTCTCCTCTCTCCAGGACAAGTCGATGATGGCTTCTGCCCTAGCATGAATACTAAGTCCAAGACCTTTTGCTGGGAACACACAAGAAAACCACAAGTACCTGGCAGTACCCACTCCAATATGACACCTACTTCCAGCAATATCTGGACTCCTCTGATCCCCTCCAGGCTTTTTAATTTATCCTGGATTATGACCCACAAATACCAAGGACAGGCGCAAAATAGTTTTCTAATATTTTCCATAACATTGCCATGGGATTAAATATGCATTAACTAGTGTTAGATCAAGTTCCCTTAGAAGCAGATCCTGAGATGAGTATTCACATGCAAGTTGTTCATCAAGGAAGTACTTCCGGGAAAATCTGGTAAGGGAAATGAGAAGCAACACAAGAAAGGGGAAGAAGTCACACAAGGGTGTGATTTCAGGCCAAGTCCAGTCCTCAGCCTGATCTTCATGGGTGCTTGGGGGTACAAATTATACCTCAGAGCTTGTTCAACCTGAGGCAGAGATGCTGCTCCTTCTTACACCCGTACATTCGATTGTTGTCTCCAGTAGCCCAAGGGCAGTGTTCTGAAGAAAGAGGCAGGTGCTAGCCCTTAGAAGCAATGCACAGAGGAGCTGGGGCAAGCACAGGAAGACAGTGGTGGTCTGGGCAGAACCAACAGCAATGCTCTACAACCACCAGCTCCAAGAAGGATGTGAAGTTTCCTGGGCTATCTCAGATCTGAACCCATTTGAATTTCCCAACTTCTCAAAATCCAAAAAGTAAAAAAGCTAGTCTCCATAGCCTGAGTACATTCTGCAAATACCACCACTCTAGCTGCTGGAATTGGCTAGTGATGAGACTCTGCAAAATTTCACAGCTCAAGCTCCTCTGGTAGATTGCCTTCTCAGCAAGGATACTTGTTACTGTTCAACTTGAAAATTCAACAGACACGATGCTAGGCTCAACAGACACAGCGGTGACCAAGAGATGGCCTAGAGGAGCTCACAGTAGTAGGTAATCTTACAAATGGAAAATCTTGCTTGATTTTTAACTGATTGCTAAAGAATACTCCATTCTCAATGATATGTGCTTCTCCCTTCAACTCGACAGCATCAGTAACAATACTTTTTAAAACATCACACCATATTGAATTACAAAGAGATGCTACCTCATAAGGACTCAACAAAAAGATAAATGAAACCACAAGAAAATAACACTACTGCAGGGCCGGCCAAGTGGCTCAGTTGGTTAAGAGCTTGCTCAAGAGTTTGAGCTCTGAGCAACAGCGGATTGAGTCCAGCCTGAGCTGAGCAGCCGCTGAGCTGCCAACAGGTAGCAGGATGGCTCAGCTTAAAAACAAAACAAAAACAAAAAAAATAACACTACTGCTACTTCTAATAATAATGACAATGATAGCTAGCATGTGTGAGAGACATACAGTCATCAAGTTCCTGAATATCTAAGTTATTGGATTACTCCCATGACCTCCAGGTAGAGGCCCCAATATCTATCACAGTTCAGAAAGTGTCACAAAATTTAACTGGTAATTGGAGAGACATTAAAAGATATGCTCAGGCCATTAGTTCCAATACAATATGTAATTGTACATATTTTTAACATACTTTATATGAGATGATGCTTCAAAGTAATGAGACTGATTATCAAATGTTCCATGGGGAATTAGTCAAATCATATTAATGTCAATCTAATAGCAAGTCAGAACTGTAATACTTGAGAAAGTCAAGGTATGCAGCAGTACAGCTCAAAGTCATATACCACATTAGCTTACAAAAGTCACCACCTCTTAAGAACTTGCTCAAGATCACAGAATTATTCAGGGTCAGGACTCAAGTCATACTTAAAGTCTCTCTGAGTGCAAAAATCCACACTTTTAAACACTATGCTATAGTGGCAACAATTCAAAACCTGCTAACATTGGAAATGAACCACATGGTTCCAGGCATCTCTCAATGGCTAATCCATGTCACACTTTCAGAGGCTCTGTCTACACAGCTATGTTTTAGGTTAAGATCATTTTTCTTCACTGTGCATTTAACATCATTTTCTAAAACAATCTGATATAGAAAAACAATGTGTATTCATTACATTATTAGTGATCACTCAACATATTAGTAATGAAAGGAGATTAATTCCTTCAATGCTACCAGTTATTGTTTTGGCTACATCACCCTTCTTGATAGCTTTCATTTCTTGGAATTTTCCATCTCGCATGATTAATTTGTTTTATTATATTTCTTTTAAAAACTATATTCTTCATAGTATCCAAATAATTCAAAATCATCAGCAGATGTGGTTGACTGACAGTTTGAAGTACATTCTCACAAATTTACTTTGCCATATATTATTATTAGCAAAAAAAAAAAAAGGATGAAGAGAGTAAGAAAGAATGGAATGAAGGTTTGAAATTTAACTTTTTGCTAAGTTTTCTGGAACTTTTTTTTCTGTTGTTTGTAAATACACATTTTAAAGCATTTCAGATTCAAGCATAATTTCCATAAATATTTCTTTATTGATGGATGAATTTAAAAGCACTGAAAAATCTTGTTATGGTGGATAATCTAGTCTAAAATCAACTATCAATTGAATATAAAATTCTTATTACTATCAGTAATGTGTCAAAGTCTCTCTAGCAATATTCCCCAGAAATTACCAAATTAAATAATTCAAGTACTTGGGAAACATGTACCACATATATGACATCACACATGTGCCAATTCTAAACAGTGTTAGATCCAGAAATGAAAAGTGGCGATGATATGTCTGTGTACCACAAGAGAAACTCCAAAGGGATTTGAACTAGAAGTTGAGTGGCTAGCCCAAGCATTTGCTGAGCACAAAAAAGAACCGTGAAAATAAAATGGGCTTACATTGCAATTTTTAATAAATTAAAGGGGAAAATAAATAAATATTTAATTAAAAGAGAAAGCCACCAATTGTCAAGACCTGTTTTGTGGTCTCAGAAATCTTAGAACTAACCCAGAGAATGTATTTCTTACTTGCTGTTGATGAGCACTTCAGATTGCCGATTGTTCACTTGATTATCACTCTTGTGGCGAAACTGAAAAATCAAAGTGTTTGCGAACAAACATTAAATCAACACAAATAGGAACACTGAAAGTACTTCAAGTTCATCTATTTGGACAATATTACCATCGGTCCAAAATGAACACAGTTTATGTTTATCTTGAACCAAGCTCCATGTGTTCTAAGTCTGAATCAAGACCCTTCTGACTAAACTTCATTCTGGGTGTCACCAATGGAACAAGTCTAACCACATGCTCTTCCAATTCTTACACAGTTTTAGTTGCTTCCCTTTACTCTGCTGCACAGCTCCAGAGAAAACCATACATTAATTTTGATGTCTTCAACAGGGAATGGGGACTTCCATTTCTCTCACATATGTGCTCAATACTTTATTGGAACATCATTCATTCTGTTTTATGGATTTCTTTGAAGTCATAAAATTACTTATAACAGCATGTATTTTTATTCTCTAGAAATTCTAATTGTTAACAGTGATCTTATGAAATACTGAGTACTTAAAACAAAAATCAAAATACAATACTGAACCACATTTGTTGTAGATTTGTTTTTTTATGCCCAAGTGATCCTATTTCTTATTGTATATTCCAGTAATGTAAACATCTTTTATTACTTAAGGAATCCAAATATTATGAGCCCTCTCCTAAGCTCATAAATTAGCAGCCATTCAGATAAGACTGTCTACATGAATTGTCAAGATCAGATAGTGATAGGCTCAAGTATAAGGTGTTATTTCAACCAATTAGACTAAATGCACAGATGGACAAGGGGTAGTATCAGGAAACATAAAACTGACTTCATAGATCATAATAATTAGGATTAGTGCTTTTTCCTTTTAAAAAATATTCAAAATATTACATCAATATAACCATAAATAAAATACTTCAACCAGCCCTTCCCTTTTTCAACATCCTTCCCAAACCCATCCCAATCTTTCTTTTATGCTGTGCCCACTGCATACAATTACACTGATTGTACACTGATCGTGCCAGGTATAAGTTAGTGGGTATTACCAGGAAGAATAAAATGTTTGGCGTTTGTTAACATGGAAACAGTTGATAATATTGGTAGAGGAGTAAATTAAGTCAGCTCATCATCAGCATGCAATCTTCTCCCCGCCCATAGAACAACAGAAATGAAAACAATGACTTTGCCTGCATACATATCTTGACGGGATGGTGGATATTTTCTGTTTTTTTCTTCCATGTCTACACCCATCCCTCTCCACTCTGCCCTGTGCCAGGGAAGCTGACCTCCAGGGTCCTGGCCCTCTGGCTACTGGTTGGGCTTGGCCAGTAGGTGCCACTGGTAGAGAACAGAGTGCCAAAGGAAATTGAAATTCCCTGGCTTCCTTCAAAATGGGTTAAAGGTGGCTGCTTCCTCTCCAGACAGCCCCAGCTGCTGTAAGCAGCCCTCAACTACAGCTCAAGGTCTGGTAATTGCTTCCTTCCTTTATCCCTTCACGCCTAGAGGTAGTTTTGCCACCCATGTGGCTATCCTACATGCTTTTCCTCACCCACACTTTTTGTAAATGTAAAACAGCAAGTACTCACATAGTCATCTGTAGCATCTTTTACAGCTGTCATAGTTATCACCAGGACCAAAGGCACAATAGTGGTAAACCAGGTCAAGGAGGAAATTTCTGGGATCAGCTGAAACAAACATTTCAAATAGTTTTGAGCCTTTAAATTCAGTAAATATATCTTCCAAATATTGTCATTTAATTTTATAAGACTTGACAGAAATTAATGGGATTATATTCAGTTATTTGGACAAATTTAGAACAACTTTCAATAATTTAAGTGTTTGCATTTGGTTGTAAGATACACAGGACAGAAGTATCATTGAATCACTTTTCAGACTACCTGACAAAAAATAAAATTTTTAGAGCAAGAAGTAAGCTTCTTGAAATCTTTCACAGATGATGATCATTCCCCAGGATAATAAACATCACCTGTCTTTTCTCAGCTTCTCATCTCAACTTTTAACAATTTTACCAACTCCTCACCAATTTCCAAAGAGAGATTCTTTGAGCATCTTCCTTGAGCCTGACACTGTATCAAGTACTTTCCATATATTATGTCATTTGATCCTCCGAGAAGTTCATTGAGCTACATTCTGTACCAGAGTTGTTTTGCACACACCCATAGGGTTTGTATTCCATGTAAATATCACCCCAGCACAAGACACAGAATACATTGTTAATGCTGCCCCAGAATCAGGAAACACTGCAGCCCTGAGTATCATTTTCCCATTGCATAAATAAGCATCTAAGAAGTCAAGCAATTGGGCCAAAAACATACACTGCTAAAATTTGAACCTCAGTCTATTTGACTCCAATGCCTTGTGCCTGTACCTCCAAAGCCACCCACCTGAGACAGATATCATGACAGTTGACATGACTCTCTTAGACAGGTAGTTTTCAAATGGGGCTCAATTTGGAGCTGCTTCAGAGCCATCAGGGAGAAAAGGGTTGGGTGGAGATGGTCAGTGTATGGAGATCAGGCATCATCAAAAAAAGCTCTAAACTTAATTGATTTTTATAATAGCTTCCACACAAGATTCAAAAAACAAACTAACTTCAAAAGCTTCTGAGATATCATCAAAAATATTAGGCTGGGTGGCAGAAAATCTGGACTCTAGTCGTAGTTCTATCATTAACTTGTGGTAAAAGCTTTATACGTACATCATCTAACCTTTCTGGATATAATTCCTTCATCAGTAAAAGAAAGGAGATTGGACTAAACCATCTCAAAGATCCTTCCTAGATATAAAATTCTGTGAACAAAAGCCTTTGACCATGAATAAGAAAGCCATTAGAGAAATGAGTTCAAACCTGCAGAATGGTGTAAAGGATTATATGAAGAAACCATTATTGATTATATTCCTCAGACTGTCTTTTTCAATTATATATACATATAGTCACGGGACATGGAGTAGAGAGTGGGAATGGAATCAATGGAATTTTAATAGATAAGCATGATATCAGGGGTGGGAGGGCAGTACATGGGAGGAGGGGGGTTGTTACTTTGTGAGGGTGAAAAAGGATAACTATTGCATTGTTCTGTACACCTGAAACTAACAATAAAAATTAAAAAAAAAAGAAAAAGAAACCAAAAGCAAATTCACAGGGGAAAAAAGGAAGAAATCTAGGATTCTAAAGTCTCTTCAATAACTTGTAAGGTGTACATTCATTGTTTTTGTTGTTGTTTATTGTTTTTCTTTCTGTTCAGCATCCAGTTCTTTTCAACTAACCTTTATTAGGGAACGACCCCACCCCTTCTATTTTCATGTAATTTTAGTGCAATTATTATATCCTGGCTCCAGGTTTTGGCATGTGATCTAGGTCAAGACTGTCACCGCATTAAATTCTTGAGCCACAGTGATTGGTTTAGGGACAGGGGTGTAACTCAGTAAAGTCCAATCAGAGCTAGTGTCCCTTGCTCTCCTTCTCTCCCTTCCTTTCATATTGAGATGAAGCTAGGAGAATAAAAGTTCAAAGCTTTCAGGGCCCACCACATAGACAGGGCCTGCCAGAGAATGAGGCCAACATGAAGGGAAACAGAGGAAAGAGAGGTCACATTCTGCTGAAATAAGTTGCCCATAAATTGAGTCATCTATGAAATGACGTATGGGGGTGCCAAAAACATGTATACACATGACTTGTATTCAACTTTTCTTATTGGTATATAGTGAGTATTACAATTTTAATACAGTTTTTTCCTTTCTTAAAAGGTGTATACATGTTTTTGGCACCCTCTGTATACTCATGAATGTATTCCCTTTTTGCTTAAAAGAATTAAGGTTTATGCCACTTGCAACTAAGATTCCTAAAACAAATAGTTATTCAATTAAAGAAAAAAGTAGTACTCAAGCTATTAATGTAGACTGCACATATCTAATCTACCTGCTGGCCTCCTATAATGAACACAGAGTCCAGCACATTCTGAATCTGATTAAATTACTCTAGGTAAATAACTGGCTGATATGTGTTGTTTACATGTATGTGTACTTTGATTTATGCCTTTTCCTTTCTACAATATCAGTAAAAGCTGAAGTTTCATTTAGGCCCAAATTTTAGTCAAGTGGGAGAAAAAAGCAAGGTTATGAAGTAAGAATGAGACACTCAGAACTTTAAAAAAAATAGCCATTCTACAGTGAAATAACATATAGCATATGTTTATTATATATATATATGATGTATGATATATATATATATATGTAAAATATATCATTGTTCTTAGATGCAAGTGAAATTTTCCAAATTAAGTTCCACAAACTACTACTCAGCTAGATTCTTTGTCTCCACTCTGGCAATACCCGCACTGTTGACATGAGAGGGAGATAAAGAAAGGAGGGAGGCTATGAACAGTAATTATTAGGCTCTGGTTTGGTTCAAATAAAGTGCAAGGCTGCATTTTAAAATTACGTCAGTGTTTAAAATGATGAATGTACTAGTTTTTACCCATTCCTAGCCCTCCCACATTTGTGAAGAGAAACAGCAATAATAACACCAAAAATCCAATAAGGATGGTTTTACCTAATCATGAACATTTAGCTAAGTGAATTAACTTATTTTTTCAAATTATATAAATACTTTTAACCAACAGATGATGAATAAATACAATGCAAACGTTACCTGTAAAATCAGAAGGAAAAGGAAATAGGCATTTGCCACTCTTTGGAACTGTTCAAATAAATTAATTGGCAAGAAGGTGAGAATGTTGTACTTGGATGTGTGGATACGATTATCCTGAAAAAGAAATAGCATCACATTAGTTTGGAGCAAGGCATTGCACCTTATTGGAAATAGCTCTAAAACTTACAGGGCTGAGCATGAGTTATACCATAGTAAAAAAGATAAGCCAGTTATCTAGAAAATTTTAAACTCTGTGTGGCCCAAGACCATTCATTTTTCCTAAGATGACATTTTCCTGATACTAGGTGAAATTACTGTTCAATGACATAAAATCACCTATGACTCAAAAATGTATGAAGTGCAAAAGTCTATCCCTGAGATTTTTTACTCTTATGCATTCATTCATTTGGCGGATATTGCTTGAGTACCTACTATACGCAGACACTGAGCTCATGCTGGGGCCCATGAGGTTGGAAGGAACTTTGGGGATCCTCTGGTCCACCTTCCCAAAGCATAACCCTTTAGATAACTCCAACAAGGGGCCCCCTAGGCCGGTCTTTGAAAGTCTTCTATGATGGGAAACTTACTACCTTGCAAGGCAGCCTGTTTCCGCTTCAGAATAAAGATTGCTAAAAATATTTTTATTATGAGAAACCCAAATCTGCCTCCCTCTAACTTCTTGACGTATGTCAAATTCCATCCCTGAGTAATCTCATCCAAGTCCAAGCCCTTTCCACGTTGACAACCTTGAGGACTACTCCTAAATCTTCTCCACTCTGATCCAAACATTTCTGAACCCCTCAGCCATTCTCCATGACTTATTTCAGAGATATCTCTTCCTGGTCAGTTTCTTCTAGATCCATCTCAATTTCTCTACATTTCTCTTAAAATGTGGCATCCAGAACCAAACACATATTGCAGACTCAGTTCAATCAGTCCAAGTACAGTAAAGACATTGATGTTCTGTGTTCTGGACTATTGTATTAACATGACTTAAAACTTCATAAGCATTTTGGCAAAAGTATCTCACTGTTTATTCACATTGACTTTTGATGAACTAAAATTTCTATATTATTTCTTCATAAATCATTATAAATCATGTCTCCCCTTGCTAGGCATATACAGATGATTTTTTAAAAATATTAATGCACAAGATCTTTCATATATTTCTATTATACCAGCCTATTGAAAAAAATTTAATGTTGAGTGTACTATCCCAAACTGTTAAATATTCCTCCCAGCCTTGTGTCATCAAACAATTTCAAACACATACCTTTTTTATATTCTTCCAAAACTGTAGGCTAATATATTTTTTTAAAATAGGGCTAAATACAAAAAAAAATGTTTTAATTAAAGAAATAAAACTTTGGCAAAATACTAGAGACCTCTGCACAGACCTTTAATAACCCCAAAGGCATTATTGTTAATGCCTTTTTCAGGTATTTATATACAACTTGTTAAGTATGTTTTATTTAAATATTTACAAATCTACCTAACTATACTACCATGAGGCTTAACTCTATTTTATCCACAAAGATATCATGAGAAATTTGGGGTCTTGCCAAAATTCAGAATCAACATACCCAGAGAGTTTCTATCCACTAATATTCTAAAACTGAGGTTAGCTGGTATGACTTGTTTTAAGTGAACCTACACTGACTCCTAGTAATCACTGACACTCTTTAAAGAAAATACAGTCATCTTTTAAATGGCCAGTTTTAGCATTTACCAGGAATCAATGTGTCCAGCTCTGTGCAATAAGTTGTGGAAGAATAAGACAGGTGTCAAGAGAAGAATTTCCAGCTTAGTTGGTCTAATTCATAGTAAGGTGCTAAAAGTTGTTCTTTATGTTAATGATGACTATTTTGCAATGAGTAATCAATTCAAGAGCTGGGCTGGGAAGGCTGAGAACTGTTGATCGTCACATGTTTTTCTAAAGAAGGAACTTGGAGAAGATAATAAGGAAGAAGAAAGCTAAGAAGAAAAAGCAGTTAACTAAAAGGATCACATATTCCCAATTCTGTTTTATATTTTCCTAAGTTGAAACTAAAACAGAGTTTAAGCCTGTAGCTTGCTAAAAGGACAGACTGAACATTTTCTGGGATATTCAAAACTATGGCAGGAGTTATAATAAAAACTCTCCTACAAAATTCAATTCCACAAAAGCCAGTTGTGTGGGATAAAGTGATAATGCCAAAGGGGGACTGTGACAATTTTCTCCTATTTGCTTAACTTGACATATAGCAATGATTTTGTTTATTCTACTGACTCTGTTGTGACTTAGTCACAGATGATGCGAATTCTCACAGCTATGACTGGAAGGAACAAGGGCTCCCCCTCCTGGAGACTCTGTGGACCCCTTTACCTGTTCTTCAATCAAAAGCAAAAATGTTTTTTTTCTGTTGCTGTGTCCGAGAATATGAGTATTGTTAAAACCTTATGTTAGGCACATTAATATTCAGTCACTTCATTGAGCCAAACTACAGTCAAATTTTGGTACAACTAATTCCATAATACAGCATGGGAGATCTTCACCACTATTCTCTTAGCTTTTCCACCATGGCCCACTAGAAATGTCTCAATCCAAAAGAAAAGATGAGAAAGACAAGCAGAAGAGGAGGAGGCGGAGGCCAAGAATAAAGAAATACATCTGGAGACTCAATAAAGCATCTTTAGTGCTGACAGAAGCCAGGCTGCAAGTCATGGTTTTAGTATGTTAGACAGGTGAGCCAGTTAGCTGACCTCATGATGAGGTAGGCTTAACCACACAGTCATAGGCAATTCCAGACCAGGGTAGAACTCCCATGGAGTGGGAAAGAGCCTACCCCTAGAGGAGTATCAGAGACCACACCTGATCCCTGTTGGAAGCTCACGTCCAAGAGGAGTAGGGCAGAACTGAGCTGAGAAGGCCCAGGTATTCCTCTAAGACTGACACATGGCTCCAACTCCCATGGGGCAGAGTGAGTAAAGAGGTGGAAAGAGAATTGTTACCCCCTCCATCTGAAAGGCAATGTCAGGATAAGGAAAAGACCTTGCTCCTCTAAAATATATTAATATATAAGCCCTGGAGAGATCCAAGATGGCGGAGTAGATAAACGCTGTGCCTGCTTCCTTCCATGAACACATTAAAATTACAACTAAATTATAGAACAATCAACCTGGAGAACCATCTGAAGTCTAGCTGAACAGAAGTTTTATAACTAAAGATTTAAAGAAGAAACCACGTTGAGACTGGTAGAAGGAGAGGAGACACAAAATGGGCTGGCCCCAAACTTCCATGTGGCAGTTGAGAATCAGGAGGAATATCTTGGTTTCAGAGGTTCCTCCCAGAGGACCAAGGGACCCAGCTCCACACCAAGCTCCCAGAGTACTGGTGCTGGGAAGAGGAGCCCCCACAACATCTGGCTGTAAAAAAAAGTGGGGATTCTAACCATCTGAGTGAGATGGAAGGCTGTGGGAAACCCAGATGTCCTCTTAAAAGGTTCATGAACAGATCCACTCACTCACAGGCACTCACCCTGGGCTCTGACTGAGAGACAGTAATTCGGGAGGTGTCGGGAGCATGGGGGGGGGCAGTGAAGCAGACTGAGGTGTGTGGCTTTGAATAATTATGGTGTACCCCCAAAACTAATGTAATATTGTATGTTAGCTATATTTTTAATAAAAATCTTTTAAAAAAAGATAAAAAAGCCCTGAAGTGGGCATTAAATGGCACATCGGGGATCTAAAAGAGAGACTGTGAGGCTTTACTATAAAGCTCAGCACAAACCGAGGCTACGGAGAGAAGGTCCTTGGAATCTATATTAAGGTTATTCGTTTTTATTGGAAAGACTAAAAGCATAAGCGAAGAGGGAATTATTGAAAGGTTTTAAGCAAAGAAATAATTTGATGGATTCTAATTTTAAAAGATTACCCTATGGGCCGGCCAAGTGGCTCAGTTGGTTAAGAGTTGGCTTAAGAGTACGAGCTCTGAGCAACAGAGCCGCTGGTTCGATTCCCACATGGGCCAGTGATGCTGCGCCCGAGCTGAGTTATCACTGAGCTGCCAACAGGTGGCAGGATGGCTCAGCTAAGACTGAACTTGGCACCTTGAGCTGAGCTGCCGCCCGGATGGCTCAGTGGATAGGACATGCGCTCTTAACAATAAGGCTGCCGGGTTCGACTCCTGCATGGGATGGTTGCTGCGCCCACCTGCAACTACGATTGAATGCAGCACTTTGAACTTAGAGGCCACGAGCTGCCAACAGGAAGCCAGATGGCAACTGGCACCCTCCAAAATGAAGATTGAAGAACAACAACTTGGCCAGTCCCCTCCCCAATTCCCCAACACTGTTCCCTTCCCCCAATTCCCCAATAAAATCTTTTTTTAAAAAAATTACCCTAGCTGTCAGGTAGAAAACAAATTGAAAATTATATAAGAATAGATGTGAGGAGGCGATTAGGAGATCTTTGAATTAGTCCAGGTGAGAGATGATGGGTGGCTTAGACCAGGGTAGTGGCAGAAGTAGCAATGAATAATAATAATAACAACAATTAATGATATTTATCAAGCTTTTACTATGTGTATTGTTCTAAAAGCTTTACATTTCATAGCTCATTTTATCCTCACAATATCCTAATGAAATAGGTAGTAACATCTTCATTCTCTATAGAATGGGGGAAATCAGAGAGATCAATTCATTTGTGCAAGGTTAATAGCTTTTAAATGGCAGAACCAAATGGCTAGGATTTGAATCCAAGCACGCTGCTTCCAGAGCCTCCCCTCTTTACCACTAATGCTCCCCCTTTCAGTGAAAAGCAGATATCTCTTCCACTTTCAGAGCAATTAGCTCTTGCTCTCTGCTCCACTCAGTATTTCTAGCCTGCTGCCACTTCCTTATCAAGGGAAATACTGTATATTTACCTTGTCCCCTTGACTCAACTCACTGAGTAGGAACCCAGTTACCTATTGCCTGATGTATAATTACAGCTTCCTGTGTTCCCTCTCAATCCCCCTCAAGAGAGTTTCTTTTGGCCCCTGACAAAGCTCAATGCAGGCAAATAGCATAACGAACCACTCCCTTAGTTTAACTTTCCACCAGAAGCTGTAGTGGCCAAAGTCTTCTACATTTTCA